GCGTTAGATCGAAAAGTTCTTGGACTTCATGGTTAACCAGAGGGGAATTAAGGTGAATCCAGACAAGATAAAAGCCATCCTGGATATGAGATCACCCACCACAACCAAGGAGCTTCAACATCTCAATGGGAGAATTGTAGCCCTCAACAAATAAGTACTTACCCTTCTTTAAAATTCTCTAAAAAACCTTCAAGTGGGGACCTGAAAGCAAAGGAAGCCTTTCAAAAGTTAAAAGCTTATTTGGCTACGCCCTGGCTCCTTTCACATGCCATGCTAGGTGAAACTTTGTNGAAAACCTTCAAGTGGGGACTTGAAAGCAAAGGAAGCCTTTCAAAAGTTAAAAGCTTATTTGGCTACGCCCTCGCTCCTTTCACATGTCATGCTAGGTGAAACTTTGTACTTGTACCTCTCTGCTTCTCCATTAGCAGTAAGCTATGTCCTCATTAGGGACAACAAAGGAGTGCAAAAACTTGTTTATTACGTGAGTAGGGCATACCGTGGAACAGAAACAAGATATTCAGAGCTAGAAAAAAATGGCACTCACCCTGATCTCTACAACAAGGCATCTCTGAAATTACTTCCAAAGTCACAACATTGTCGTTATCACGGACCAACCTCTAAAGAAAGTTTTGGGGAAGCCAGGCGAGTTCTATGTGTAGTACCAATCAAGGGGTAGCTATCAAAGCACACGCCTGGGCAGACTTTGTTGCCGAGCTCACACCGCCAGAGGAAGAGGACAGCAGAACCTCGGCACCTCAGGAAGCCTCATCGAAATCCCAACCAAGTGCACAAATACCTAGACCTAGCGTCTAGAACAACATGGCGCCTTGCCTTGGCGCCCAAGACACCCTAGCACCAAAGACAGACACCTTGGCGTCCACCATGGCCTCTAAGGCCCTCTTTCTGCCACCTCCCTAGAAGCTTTTCATGGATGACTCTTTGACCAGTGACATAGGTGGAGCAGGCCTAATCCTAACCAGTCCCAACGTCAGTCCTATCAAGTATGTCATGAAGCTCCACTTTCCGGCCTCCAACAATAAAGCTGAATATAAAGCCCTCATCTATGGCTTAAGGTTGGCAATTGAAATGGAAACCCATAGTCAACCAAGTAAAGGGCAAGTTCAAAGTAAAAGGAGCTAAAATGCAGGAGTACCTTGCTATGGTGCAAGCTTTGCTAACTAAGTTCCACCACTTCCAAATCCGTCACATCCCAAGGGAAGACAATATCGCTGCAGATGCGCTTGCTAGGCTCGCTTCATCCTCAGAAGTCCCACAAGACCAGCATTCATTGGTCACCAGTTTGAACCAAGCAAGCTAGACATGAAAGCCACTAACGTCAACTGCACATCTGTCGAGACAAACTGGAAAACCCTAATAAGGGCATACCTCTAAGAGGGTACATTACCAAACGACCCGTTGGAAGCTAAAAAGCTTAGGATGAAAGCCTCCAAGTTCACCATCCTATAGGACATCTTGTACAAGAAAGGCTACTCCTTGCCACTACTACGATGCCTCTCTCCAAAAAAAGCTAACTACACTCTACGAGAAATTCATGAAGGAGTATGTGAAAACCACTCTGGAGGATGCTCCCTAGCCCACAAGGCACTCAAACAGGGAAAATGCAACAAATGTCAACACCTCGCCAGTATGCCGAGGCAGCCACCAGAAGAACTGAAAGCCATCACAAGTCCATAGCCCTTTTCCAAATGGGACATCGATATCTTGGGCCCTTTTCCTTAGAGTAGGGGGGCAGTGCAAGTTTGTGGTAGTAGCTATCAACTACTTCACAAAATGGGTTGAGGCCGATTCCTTAGCAAAGATAACAGATGCAAAGGTCAAGGATTTCATCTGGAAGAACCTAGTTGGTCGCTTTGGAGTACCCCACGCTATAGTCAATGACAACACCAAACAATTCGACAATAGATTCCTAAACTCATTTTGCGCTGACCTCTAGATAAAGAAGTGTCATTCTAGTCCAGTGCACTTGCATGCAAACGGGAAGGCAGAGGTCACAGTCAAAACAGTACTATGCAACCTAAAGAAGAGGCTGGAAAAAATAAAGGGTCTTTAGGTGGACGAACTCCCAGGTGTATTCTGGGCCTACCGAACGACACCAAGGACCCCGACTGGAGAAACTCCTTTCTCACTCGCCTTTGGAACTGAGGCATTCATACCTGTGAAAATGGGGTACATTCTCTAAGGGTCCAACACCAATGAGGTAGGACTCCGCATCAACCTCGATTTGGTGGAGGAAGAAAGAGAAATGACTATGGTTCAGAATGTCGAATACAAGCACTGCATGACGAGATACTACAACTCAAGGGGTGAAGTCTTGTTCCTTCCAACCAAGAGACTTAGTCCTCAAGAAAGTAATCCTTGCCACGAAGGATTCTCGAGAAGGGAAACTTGGACCAAATTGGGAAGGACCGTACCTCATAACAGAAGTAGTGAGACCAGACACCTTCAGGATCCAGAATTCCGAAAGAAATGTTTTACCCCTTCCCTGGAATGCTGAGCATTTGAAGAAGTACTACCAATGACACTTTAGGAGGGCAGAAGTAGTAAAGCTGGGGCTTGATTTTATTTTTCTTGTAGCTTTTTTGGGTTATTACCCACCACTGCTTAGCATGAGCAACCATTAAATAAAATTTTCTAAATTTATTTCAAAAAGTTCCTTGCATTCTATTTCAAGTCAGCATCAGTGGTAAAAACCACTTTTACAAAAGGAGGGTACACACTACCTTTCTACAAAAAAAAAAAAAAAAATGAAAAGTCTCTGGCACTCTAACTACTCTGATGGCCATCATCCACCTCGTCCTCGCTCTCTGCACCGTCAGAGTCGCAATTATCACCATCAGCATCATCAGGCGCCTTATATGGCACAAAGCTTGAAAGGTCAATATCAGGGAAAGCAGTAGATATTTTTTCCCAAAGTTCCTCGTAGCCATCAGTGAAGGCATCTACAAGGCCACTCTCTGAATCAGCCTCAGCCTTGGCGGCAATCTCATGAGTCAATCGTAGATCCACCTCAGCCCGAGAAACCCTCTCGCGAGCTACCTTAACTTTTCCTCCACTCTCAAGCGGGCAGCCTCACTATCTGTCTCTAGCTTAGCGGTCCTCTCGTGGGTCACCACAAGCTCTGCTTCGGCCCTCGTGCAAGCAACCTCTTTGAGCGTGGCCCTCTCACGGGTCACCACAAGCTCTGCTTGGGAAGCCCTACCATCAGCTTCAAGCTCAGCAATCCTTCCTTGACAAGAAAAAAGCTCATTTTTCACAGTCTCATGACTCTACTTCAGGTGGCTTAACTGAACAGTCCTTGAAAAGAGACACATAGACACAACTGAAACCTGAAGAAGACAAAAGAATATTAGTACCTAAGGAAGGACTAGAGTAAGGAAGAAATTAGACTCTTACTTGAGTCAGACCTTCCAAAACAATGTCGATGATACCCTTAGTGCCCCCGAGCACCAATTACACTAATGTTTGCTGGAAACGCAAATCTCCCAAGTTATTCACTGATGATCCACACATCGCCCCGCATGGAGACAATTTGAGTGGGTGCGCCTGTAGAAGTCACCTCAAGAGGAGTCGACAAATGGGAGGCAGGAGGTGTGGCCGACAGGGGAGTTTCTAGAGTAGCGGTCACCTCTGAAGGAGTCGTTGACCGAGGAGGCGCCACTGAAGGGGTCGTCTGAGAGGGGCTTGCCAAAGTATCGCTCACCCTTACCACCCTAGGAGGAGGGGTAATCCTAGTGAAATAACGGAACTCCACCACTGTCCTATCCACTACGGAAGGATAAAAGTGTTATCCTGATGAAAAACCAAGTAAAGGAGGAGAATATAAGGGAGTCAAGCATACCTTTTCTCTTCAAAGAGGAACTGTCAGGCCTTGAAAAGGGTGCACCGGTCGTAGCACTTACAGTAGGAGAGTCTCTAGCTCCACCCTCCATAAGCATAAGAGTCCCAAAGTCCTTCATAGGGTACGCCCTCACAGCTTGTAACTTCCATTCTTTATCTTTTGAGAGCACGAGAGAACCTGGAAGGGATGTGATGAGTACACATTTGCAAAAAAAGGAGAAGAAAAAAGAATAAGAGTGAGCGTACCAATTCTTTTGGGAGTGTCCCATCTTGATAGAATCAAAGATCTGTCAGTATTTGAAGCCCACTCTACTCTAACGAACATAAAACGAGTCTTCCAACTATGGTAGTTAGAGCGCAATCGAGTAATCAATTTACCTCCTCTCGGAGTGAAATAGTACCAGCCAAAGTTGGGAGTAAGAGTCTCATTTAGAGTATAAGCCACACAAAACTCTTCAAGAGAAACATCCTCATGATGCACTTTTCTTCATAATGCCAAAAATTCCAACAAACCCTCCAATTGTTGGGCACCAACCACCCTGGCGTAAGTGAAAAGCAATGGAGAATGCAAAAAATAGATGAAGGCATTCAGAACCTCAGCCCAGCCTCAAGCACCTCCTCATAAATAGTAATATCCTTGAGAAGTCATCACAAACAGGCACACCTATTTTAACTTAACGACACAGTATCGTTGGGAGAATATTATAAGTAGAAACGATCTATAGAATAACAGCGTCAGTATTAAGGGTTCTAGAAATGGTACTTACTTTGGATCCGTCGTAATCAAGAGCTACCTTTCATCGATTTTTGTTGTTGCGGGGACGAGAAACATTTCTCGGGCCACAAACATGAGAGCCTTATCGAATCTACATAGGGTTACACATGAACCAATCAAATCATCTATTTGACTGGAGCCATCACCACCAGTATTCCCCAGCGTACTTTGCTCCATAGCTCCATGCCCCGGCTTCCTAGCTCCGTGCCCAACCTCTTCCATCATTCCCGGTCCACCCCAATGCCGTCAAGCGCTCAGTGATGCTTGCGCGATCGCCTGTCCTCACCCAACGATCACCGACACTACTTGCACGCTCACCTGGCTACACCCCAGGCCCAACGACGCCTGCGCGCTCACTTTTTCGCACCCAGCAATCACCGGTGTCGCCTGCACGTTTGCTTGGCCATGCCGATTGCCTAGCAGGGCCACCTCCGTGCTCGCCGGCCCTTGCCCAGCACCCAGGAGCGCCAGTTCTTCTCAACGATCTGACTCACCAGCACACGGCACCCATGGCTTCTCGTCCTCGACACCCATCCATAGCGCCTTAACCTCCTAGATCTGCATCTCGCCTTTAACGCCTCACCCATGAGCGACGCGATCTCCAACCAGTGGCCTGAGGTGCCTTTCACTGATGCATCCCTCAACCTCGCCTTCCCTAATGATGGTCCTTCCACGATCAACAACCAACGACGCCCCGAGCGCCTTCCTTTCAGTGGCGCCCAACTTTGGCAGCCTAGGTCGCCTCCTTAGGTAGTGACCAAGGCACCCGGTCTTCATCAACCTAGGCCTCCACTTCACCAATGTTTCCTTCTTCGATCTCCACCATGCCAGTGACCTCCTGATCACCTGTCTTAGTGCCAATTACTCTATCGCCATGGATATAGATGGACTCCCCTCCTTCACTTGACATCAATTTTTGCACTTAACTCAGTAATGGGATCACAAATCTTCCCTCTTGCTTTGTTATTGGGAATCTCACTAGAAGTCCACTCTCAAAATGAATGAAATGAGGAGAGAAAGAAGAAACTCCCAATTTATGACTTAGGGCTTTTTGAAATGCTAAAAGGACGTAAAATGGGGGGAGTTCATACAACTGGAGATGTCCTACAGAGGTAAAAAATAGATCATGAAAGAAAAAAGAGTCGTTAGTTAGGAGGGGTCTTCGTCAAGTAGGATCTAAGTTTAACTAAATGCCCTCTTCTCCAAGTTTTATTAGACTCAGGGCATTCGGAGGGCAAATGATGGGCTAGGCCCAAGGGGCCAACTCAGGTTATAAGTCCATTTTGAATAAAGAGCCCAACTAGAAGAGGTTCAGTGGGTCTAGCCCAAAAGAGGTCCACGCCCAGTCAGGTTCTTCAAGGCTCAAGGAGCTACATCACTAAGGAGTAGGCAGGGTTATCCTAAGAGCCTCCTCAATGCTACCTTGGAAAAACTCAACCATCACGTCATCCTTTGGCCTGATCTTAAGGGGAGCTCCGTAACCACCTCAGCCGTTGAGAGGATAGCGTCAGCTCCACTAAATTAGCTACTTAGCTATTAAAAAGGCGCCTCAGTCTATTGAAAGGCATTATAAATTGTAAGCCCCGCCAATACTTGGGGGGCATCAAACACATCTGCTACTACTCTCACCTCTCTCTCATAGCTTGTATCTCCATTGCTCTCCTTGATCTCCCTATACTCCTCGAAGTAATAAAATAATTAGGTCATCCTAGCCCTTCATAGTAGAGTAGGTCATGTTGACCGAACCACTCTAAATCTTTGTCTTGCTTGAGTTACTCTCTTCCTACTTAATTACTGATCACTTGATCGGGGTGCATAAAACTAATTTGTGCATCATCATATATGTACATATATTTATGTATATATGTATACACATACACAATGGCAAATAGAATATTATATAGGTTGATTTTTATTTAATATTTCATTATGTGTTCATAATGTCAATTAAGTTGGGTTGATGTGTGTAGACACACAAATTAACACTCTTAATCTTATTGGATTGTTGGTCTTCAAATAGAATAATATGTGTTGAGTTGCTTGATCAATGTTGGACTATTTTAATCTACCGCAAAATTGATGAGTTGGGTTATTTTTTATTTACATTGAAGCTTGTTTTACTGCTAATACATTTTAGGTATTTTTATCAGGTGTTGAAAACTATGATGGAGGCAGCCATGGTTAATAAAATTACCAACACTCCAAGTATCGGTATGCAGTTTAACTCAGATAAGGATGCTTATGAGTTTTTATATCAAATATGGTGGTTCGGTTGGATTTAGTGTGAGAAAAAGACTATCATAATGAAAGTGAGATAGATGGTATTTTGATTTATAGGAAAAAGAAGTCAATAAAAGGGATTGGAAAGTAATAAAACTACGAGCAGAGACCCAAACCAAGTGTATGGCTCACATGTGTATATCCCTTAATCGATAAATTGGAAAATATGTGATAGTCAAATGGGAGGATAATAACAATCATTCATTGCATCTCAGGGAATTTATGCATATAATGTCATCTCAAAAGAAGGTTTCTATAGTGCAAGGCATTTATGTTGATATGGCAGCAGATTGAGGGCTTTCACTTAAAGATTCTTATGAATTTATGGGTACATAGGCAGGTGGAATGGAAAGTTTAGAGTTCACTCATCTAGGACAAAGAAAATTATATCCATGAAATAAGGCAGTAAAGTTGAGATATAGTGAAACTGGTAGTTTGTTGAATTTTTTTATGTTAGAAGCGATTAAAAATCCATCATTTTATTATGGTATTCAACTAGATGTTGATGAATGTATTACAAACATTTTTTGGACTGACCCAAAAATGATTATTGATTATGACCACTTTTCAGAGGTAGTTTCATTTGACACAACATTTTTGTACGAACAAGGAGTATCGATTTTTTGCATGCTTTGTTGACTTTAATAATTTTAGGAATAATGTGATATTTGGTGCTGCATTATTGTGTAATGAAATGGTAGCATCATTTCAATGATTATTCAAAACATTCTTGCAAGTGATGTCTGAAAATAGGCTACCACCATCTTTACTTATCAAGATCAAGCAATGACTAAAACAACCGCACAAGTGATGCTAGAGACCTATCATGGGCTATGTACTTGACACATTTCCCAAAATATTTTAAAACATCTATAGAATATACACAAGGATGACTCAAACTTTGTCACCAAATTGCAAAATGCATCTACGAATATATGAAAGAACATAAATTGTTTGAGACTTGGAATATATTGCTTGAAAAGGGAATATATTGCTTGAAGAGTATAATTTGCGGGATAATAATTGGGTGAAGGCAACTTGGGCATTGAGGGAGAAATGGGCTAAGGTGTATATGAAGAAAATTTTACAACAGGTATGAGGANAATATGTGTTGAGTTGCTTGATCAATGTTGGACTATTTTAATCTACCGCAAAATTGATGAGTTGGGTTATTTTTTATTTACATTGAAGCTTGTTTTACTGCTAATACATTTTAGGTATTTTTATCAGGTGTTGAAAACTATGATGGAGGCAGCCATGGTTAATAAAATTACCAACACTCCAAGTATCGGTATGCAGTTTAACTCAGATAAGGATGCTTATGAGTTTTTATATCAAATATGGTGGTTCGGTTGGATTTAGTGTGAGAAAAAGACTATCATAATGAAAGTGAGATAGATGGTATTTTGATTTATAGGAAAAAGAAGTCAATAAAAGNATGTTAATTATTCCTTTGGAATTTGAATACCATTGTCATTCTTCTTGGAATTCTTTCTTGTAATTTCTATGCGATTCCATTGTGCAGACTGTTGATTTATTTGAATAGTTGTTAGTTTTGTTTCTTTTTGCAACCCCATGTGGTCATGTTAGTAATTTCTTTGATTANCTTAATCGATAAATTGGAAAATATGTGATAGTCAAATGGGAGGATAATAACAATCATTCATTGCATCTCAGGGAATTTATGCATATAATGTCATCTCAAAAGAAGGTTTCTATAGTGCAAGGCATTTATGTTGATATGGCAGCAGATTGAGGGCTTTCACTTAAAGATTCTTATGAATTTATGGGTACATAGGCAGGTGGAATGGAAAGTTTAGAGTTCACTCATCTAGGACAAAGAAAATTATATCCATGAAATAAGGCAGTAAAGTTGAGATATAGTGAAACTGGTAGTTTGTTGAATTTTTTTATGTTAGAAGCGATTAAAAATCCATCATTTTATTATGGTATTCAACTAGATGTTGATGAATGTATTACAAACATTTTTTGGACTGACCCAAAAATGATTATTGATTATGACCACTTTTCAGAGGTAGTTTCATTTGACACAACATTTTTGTACGAACAAGGAGTATCGATTTTTTGCATGCTTTGTTGACTTTAATAATTTTAGGAATAATGTGATATTTGGTGCTGCATTATTGTGTAATGAAATGGTAGCATCATTTCAATGATTATTCAAAACATTCTTGCAAGTGATGTCTGAAAATAGGCTACCACCATCTTTACTTATCAAGATCAAGCAATGACTAAAACAACCGCACAAGTGATGCTAGAGACCTATCATGGGCTATGTACTTGACACATTTCCCAAAATATTTTAAAACATCTATAGAATATACACAAGGATGACTCAAACTTTGTCACCAAATTGCAAAATGCATCTACGAATATATGAAAGAACATAAATTGTTTGAGACTTGGAATATATTGCTTGAAAAGGGAATATATTGCTTGAAGAGTATAATTTGCGGGATAATAATTGGGTGAAGGCAACTTGGGCATTGAGGGAGAAATGGGCTAAGGTGTATATGAAGAAAATTTTACAACAGGTATGAGGAGCACCCACCTTAGTAAGTGTTTGAATGAAAAATTACAAAAGTACTTAAAATCATATTATGTTATTGTACAATTTTTTACTCATTTTGATAGAGTTGTAATGATAAGTAATATGTAGAGTGGAAGGAAAAGTATCATGCTAGGCAAAAGTTTCCAATAATGAAAATTTGAACATATGCATCCACATTGATTTATATGGGAAGGACTTGCGCAATGTTAATTATTCCTTTGGAATTTGAATACCATTGTCATTCTTCTTGGAATTCTTTCTTGTAATTTCTATGCGATTCCATTGTGCAGACTGTTGATTTATTTGAATAGTTGTTAGTTTTGTTTCTTTTTGCAACCCCATGTGGTCATGTTAGTAATTTCTTTGATTAAGGGATCACTGGGAACCTATCCTAGATAGGTCTATGAACTAGATTTTAATCCGAATTCGATTCGAATTTGAATCCATTTAAACATATATGAATAAGATTTTTAATCCATTAATCCTATCCGATCCTAATTCGATTAGAGTTGTCTAAATGGATTTGGATATAGATTTATAATAATCCAATCCGTTATTAATCCGATCTGAATAAAAAAATATATTATGTAAATAAATATCACACATATATTATACTTATACTAAAAAATAAGTAAAAATAGAGTGTGATGGTGTAAATCAACATGGATGAGCAAAAGGTGCAAGTAACGTGAGATAAGCATGGATTAGAGCTACAAGGCTCGTGTATGATACTGCCATAAAATATTAAGGGGATTAAGGGGTGTACACAGTGAAAATATAGTGGTTCACCGGCTCAGGAGTTCGGCTAGTCCACTCTTCAATGGAGGTCCTTGCTCCTTCTCTTCTCTATTGATTAGTTGAATGTAATACAAGATAGTGCTCAACTGACTAGGGTTTTTTCTGCCTTTACGATGAGGCGTTGCAT